ATGATAAAGATAGTTCGCCAACAGCAGCCTCCAATCAGACAACTAAAAAACCGTTGCCAAAACCACCAAACCGTGTAATCGGAGTTTCTAAACTTTGGGACTCTGCAGTACCGAGTTCTAACAGATCATCAGGATGGCTTGCAAGCAGGGAAGAAATGGTGCAGTGGAACTTAGAGGAACGTCAAAAATTGTATGATGTTGTGTTTTATTGTTCTACTTGCTTTTACGCTGGTTTATGTGTAGAAGTAGTAACATTTTTAACTCGCTGAAGATATGAAGAATTTAAAACGCCGTATTTCAAAGATTTGGCCGAGATTAAACGAGAGGGAGACAAATTATGGGAGGCTATTCCTGTTTTGATAAAAGAAGATGTATATATAATTAATTAATTGAAATTGATTGGTCTTTTCAGTATTTGGATGTCGACTTAACTGCTTATTGTCTATTCGAAAGAAAGCCAAATACATGCCAAACATGAAAGGTCGGTCTTTAGTAAAAAATAATATTAACACGACAGAAATTTTATTAGGAAAAACTTCATTGGTGACTTTTTGTTTTAACAAATTTGGAGAGGTTTGGCTTTTCTTTTACTGATTACTATTTTCGAGAATTCTCTCTTTAATATTATAATCATCATCATCTTCTTCTTCTTCAAAACTAGGATCATGTCAAAACTTTTACTGATCCGTTTCTTGACGCGTTTTCTGAACACCCATCGATTCAATTGGTGTCGGTACGAAATCTATAAAGTTTTATGTTGTCAAATCTTCATTATATTAGTCGCAGTAATAGTAAATACAACATTCTATAATCGTCTTTATTCCGTTTATTGTAAAGATAAACTTGGAGAAGAACTTTGTAAAGTCACTCATCATACGACTCTTCATGCCCTCCATAAGACGCTCCATGGAGAAATCTCGTCATGTATGGATTATTGGCAACTTCCTTTTCTTTCTAAATGATGAACTATCAATCCTAATTGTTTTATCCTTAATTTGAATCCTATTCGTTCGTTTGCTTCTCAAAATTTAATAAAAGCCGACGCACATTTTCGTATTCAAGGACGTTTACTACATTTCGAAATTACTGGAACTTAATTCAGCTCGCGGAAACGTCTTTTTGGCCGATGCGAAATGTTTGATCCGGTGGATGGCACATGGTAAAGCTACCCGGGATGAAATAAATTCGATGATTGAGGTGACTAAAATTTTGGATTCCAGGTATAATTAACTCAAAATATAAAGTGAATAATACCGTAATTCGCAATGCAAAATACCCGGGTCTCTAAAATTCCACGTGTTAATAAATAAAAAAAGGAAAAATATTAGTAAAAAAGGACACTATAAGGGGATTCACGAATGCGGAATACGGTAAGTGCAATTTTAGATATCGTGATTGGCTGTAAAAAGGATATTCGTGTAATATCGATATGTGCAAGTTTCTCACGCACAAACTTTCCCACGCACAACTATATTAATTTTCGGACGATCATTTAATCGATAACCTTTTTATCCTATTTAGTATTAGTTTTTTTACTTATAATTATTTAAATTTTCTAAGAGAAATGTCAACCACAAGCAACAATGTAAATGCTATACCAGCACTTCATAAATGCGGACCTCAGGTGGGTATTACTCCCTTCCGCAACACACTTTTATTCAGCATTACCGACCGTGTTGGTGCCTTAGACGAGTGTTTGGCTGCTATTAAATCATTGAATATTTCTTTGAAGCGAATTGAGAGGTAGAAATAAATTTCTAATCCTTCCTTTTTTTTGAAATTGAAAATAAGAATTCATATTTTTATTCCACCATTGATAAAATGAAGCCGACCAAGCAAGACGCCAGAATGGGATTATGAGTTTTTCATTGATTTTGACGCAGAATCACGAGAACAATTAACGAATGTTGTGTCTGAATTGCAAAAAATCGCGAGACACGTACAGATTATTAGCTCTATTGATTCTGAGGCTACAGAAAGTGAGTCAGAAATAGAATCTGTTATGGCATTAGAACCATGCCAAAGATATCCATATTTTGCAAGGTATCACTCATTATTGTAATATCTAGAATATGTTCCGTGGTTCCCTCGTAAGAAAGCTGACTTGGATACATTTGCGGAAAAGGTTTTGGAAATGGGTGAAGAACTCAGTAGGAAATTCTATATTATTTTCTTATCATTACTTCCTTTACATATCAAAAATTGATTCATCTAAAATACAAATAATAAAATCAACAAACTAGCATCTGATCACCCAGGAGCCAAAGATCCAGTATACCGAGCACGTCGCGCCGAAATAACACGTATCGCAAAAACTCATCGCCATGGGCAACCAATTCCCCGTATTGAATATACCAAAGAAGAGGTTGAGACATGGGCCACCGTGTTTCGTAACCTCGCAAAACTTTTTCCTACACATGCGTGTCGTGAGCATCAATACGTGTTTCCGTTGTTGGTTGAGAATTGCAGGTATCGGGAGGATAATATTCCTCAATTGGAAGATATTTCGCGGTTCTTGAAAGGTAATTTGTATATCTGATTATGAACACAAACGTAAAGTACGGTTATTAAAAATTGTGGATTTTTCAGATTGTACTGGATTCACATTGCGTCCTGTTATGGGTCTTCTCACTTCACGTGATTTTCTTAATGGTCTCGCATTTCGCGTGTTTCATTCCACTCAATACATTCGTCATCACTCGAAGCCTTTATATACTCCAGAACCGTAATTATGATTCGATTTCATCATATTGCTTTTGCTGTTATTCTTTTCATCTCAATTGATTAATCAATCATACATATTTCCCTTTAGAGATATCTGTCACGAATTACTTGGACATGCAAGTATTTTTATCTTGCCTATTTATCGCCGATCAATTGTATTAATTTCTCTCTCTCTCTATATATATATAGGTTCCATTGTTTTGTGATCCAGATTTTGCAGACTTTTCACAGGTATTATTTCAACACAACCAATGATTCATATGTTTTATGTTTGTATATATTTTCTGTATATACAATCATATTGATTTTCTCGCTCTCTAGGAAATAGGTCTGGCATCGCTTGGTGCTAGTGACAGCGACATTGAAAAATTAGCAACAGTAAAGACTTTTCATTCAGCATTCTTGGAAATTTATTTTAAACATCTTTGATTTAATAAGATGTTAATCTCATTATCATCTTAATTCACTATTGTAAGATATATTGGTTCACGGTTGAATTTGGGCTATGCCGACAAGACGGTGAAATACGTGCATATGGTGCAGGACTTTTATCCTCCTTTGGTGAATTGGAGGTAATTGTTGAACTTCTCTTTATATGCTCGAGCAGGATGGGTTGGCTGCAAGGTGTTCTCATGCCATTTCGAATATAATACGATCGAATCGAAACATATAGTATGCATTAACGGATAAACCCGAGAAGAAACCTTTCGAACCAAGCAAAACTGCTGTCCAAAAATACATAGTGACAGAATATCAACCAGTAAGCACAAATCCAATAAAAATTTTTTTATCTTAATCATTTATTCACGAAATATTTTTAATATTTTGCAACAATTATAGTTATACTTTGTAGCTGAGTCATTTAAAGATGCACAACAAAAGGTCCGTGATTATGCAAAGACACTGACACGACCATTCTCAGTGCGCTACAATCCGTACACGGAGTCTGTTGAAGTGTTGGATGATAAGGTTAGTAAATCAACTTGTCTATTTGATTCGTATATATTCGTTAGCCAATTAATTGATAAAAACATGATATAGGTAAAGATTCTTCGGTTCGCGCAGAATATAAAGAGTGATTTCCAGAATCTTTTGGATTCATTGGAAAGTTTACAAGTGTGATCCCTATTTATTTAATTGTCTTCAACATAAGTGATGAAAACATTTGGCCTGATTGACGACCATTTATGTCATAGATAACCAGTTACACGCTAAACTTTTGCTTTGATGATGAATAAAAAGTGTGCCTCTGCTTTTCTTAAAACGTGCATCCGTCCAAAATGTCTCAAACAATTTTCACTTACACTAAAACCATACTCTTACTCTCGAGACTTGATTTCTTTTCAAAGAACATACTCGAAACACGCGAATCATCAAGACCAATTTACAGAAATAAAAGAAGAGAACCCTGTTAAATTAGAGTTTCTCGAATACGAACCGCCAAGGCTTCATGCACCGCATGAAAGTCCTCCACTAGTTATTTTACATGGTTTGTTTGGTTCAAAACAGAACTGGAAATCTCTTGCAAAAGCGTTTGCGCAACGGCTGAATACTAAGGTTTTTGCTCTGGTAACAAATTGAATAATTGACTGCGGGTAAAACTGTGGTAGTGAATCCCTCGAGATAAAAAAATTTTAATAATTTTGTTGAAACAAAATAGGATTTGAGGAATCATGGCGAAAGTCCTCATTCACCGGTTCACACATATAAAGCAATGGCCAAAGATGTAGCAGAATTTCTTAACGAGCATAAACTTCGTAAGACTGTCATCATTGGTCATTCAATGTATTAATAAACTAATAGTTGTTGATATTATAATTTTCTCGCTTTAATATAGATTAATATTATTTTTAATGACGGTTAATAATGTATTAATAATAATAAATCATAGGGGTGGTAAGGTCGCAATGACTATGGCACTACTTCAAGTACCCCACATAGAGAAACTGGTGGTTGTGGATTGTGCACCAACAAAGTATCGATTGTCATTGGATTTTGCAACGTATATCACGGCAATGAAAAAAATTGAGGAGACTGTGGTCGCAAAGCAGAGTCATGCTGATAAGATTTTGCAGGAAGTTGAGCCGGTATATATTTGTTTATTTCATTGAATGATTAATTTTTGTTAATTAACCATATATATATATTCATATAATAGGACATTGCGATCCGTCAATTTCTCCTCACTAATCTGAAAAAAGATTCCGATACCGGCATATATAAATTTCGTATTCCGCTTGATCTATTAAATGATAATTTAGAAGAATTAGGCGGGTTCCCGTTCGATTCGGCGCATCATACTTTTCGTAAGCCAACTTTATTTATTGTTGGGACTAAATCAAATTACGTGAAGCCGAAGGTTTGTTTTTTGAGGGTAGTTATGTGTTCGATGTGTATGAGATTATAGAGCGCGCGTATTGAATCCATTTAACTACGCGCAAATAAATTATTAATATCCGTGACCAGGTCCATTCAACCATTCGAACATTATTTCCTGAGGCAGTTATCGTGGACATTGAGGCCGGTCATTGGGGTGAGTATTTGGTGGTTGGCTGATTGATAAATTATAAAAATAATGCACTCTTTGATGATATTATTTAAATATAAATAGTTCACGCAGAGAAACCTCAAGAGTTCTTAACAGTTGTTTCTGATTTCGCAAAAAACAAATAAAAAGATGAACAGTTGGCAATACCTAACACACTATCTTTTTAGTTTTGGATAATACAAAAGATTACGTGAATTTCTAATGTCATAAAAATCTATCGAAATACTACACTGTGCCATGTCATTACTAGTTACATAATCAATTCTCTTAAAACTGAAGACATTTGTGCAACTATTTTCCTTCGTCCATCGGGTGGCTATATACAGTTGGCCAGAAATATAGCTTTTATAATGATTTTAATATATATATGGGTTGGTGCAAAAAGATTTGTACCTTAGATAAATATTAATAGATTATTTTTTCAAAATAAAATTTTTAATTTTGTCTTATTTAATTAAATTATTAGATATTGGAATTTATTTAAATTTTTATTATATATATTTTATAAAAAAAATTTTATTAATAATAACTTTTTTCAATTATTAGCTCTTAAATTTTACTATATAAAATTTGATTAAAATTAATATAAAAATTATATAGTAAATAATTTAATTACTCAATTTTGAATCTTAATATCTTTATAATTATTGATTCAATTTTTATGAAATTTTGAATATATATTTATCAAATCTAAAGCAATTTGCTTGTGTAATTTGAAGTTCTAATATTGCAAATTGATAGCAATAATATTTAAAATGTCTTTTTTTAAAAAAAATAATTTTATTTTAGTTTTTTTTAGTAAAGTAATACTTTCATTTATTATTGAAACAAAATATAATAGAATAGTTAAAATAGTATAAAAAGTTAATTTAGATCATTTTTTATTTAATATAAAAGGATTGGTTAAAATTTGAATGATTTTATTAGAAACAATTATTAATTTTTATATTAAGATACTAATTTTTAATTTTTTAGAAAAAATGGAAGATCATGTGATTTAAAGGGGTAAACCAATCATTGATTGGTTTACCCTTAAAAAATCACATGATCTGTCATTTTTGGTTTATCAGAGAGGAAGAGTACAAGTAGTTCTACTGTCCGTTGAGTTAGATAAACTTTCTCTAAGGATTATTAAGAATTTCTTCCCCTGTTTGCGTATTTAAGATTGTTTTTATTATATAATGAATATCTCGCAAATGTCTTTATTACATTCATTAAATCAACATTTTACACGAGGTTCGCCATCATTTCTGGAACAAAACAAAACTAGTCTATATATATATTTAAACTATTAAATATAACTAATCGTTAATTGCATAATTGAATATTTATCATAATTCTTTTCCAGTTGACGACTCAAATAAATGATTAAAAATTATTCAATGCCAATTGATAAAACTAGGCAATTACGGGTCAGATTACCAATTTATCCAGGTAATCAATATAATTCCGGTTTAATACTTAGTTTCAATATTTTTTTTCGTAAAAAAAGTATAAATTTGCTGATAGACAGTACAAAAACTGTTCGTCATACTCTATATGAGCAAGATTATTATGGTCGAGCAGGCGTTAGAAGATTCTTAGTTTCAGAAAAGACTGATTGCTATGATGTAAAGAAAGAAGGAATGGACTGTTGAGCAATTTGGAGTGAAGAGTTACAGTATTTAATCCTTAAAAATGACAGAATTGCCTTGTACCAACTGTAACGCCAAAAAATGGGTAATGATATAGGGATGTTTCACATGAATGCACTTGGTCCGTTAATTGAAGTTCCTGGTACTATTAATGGTGAAAAGTACTTAGAAACTTATCTTTATCATCTATAAAAGATATATCTTTTATCTTTGTCAAAATGACAATGCGCGTCTCCATAAAATGAGTCTAGTAGAAGAATGGAAAAAAGGAAATAATATTTTTTGACCCGCACAAAGCCTCGATCTTAATCCAATTGAACATCTTTTAGGATGTTTGCACGGCTGAATAAATAGTTGCACTAAAGGAAGAATGGAATTTAAATGAATTAGTTGACAGCATGCCTCGTAGCGTTAAAGATGTTAAATGGCAAAAAGCTACCCAACTAAATATTTAAGATATGGTTTCAATAAACTTTATTTTATTAAATTTACTTTATAAGGAGTTTTGCTCTATAAATAAAATCAAACATCAATCAAATATTTTTTTTAACGTGTTAGAATAAGCTTCTCTTCAAAAAAAAAAAAGAAAATCGC